ATACCTCCAGAGTCATTTCTTTTTTCTTATTTCATGACTATGAGGGCACTATGATTAGGTGCATCACTTGCATTCGTAAGGTAAAGTCTGACTTGTCCTTGTCACCTTCACCCAGGAGGTGCGCCACATACCCAGGCACTGTGCAGGTTCATGGGAACCTACCAAGCCCCCTTCCCACTCCCCTGTTCTTAAATTTGAGTTTATCTATCCTGTGGATCTGTGACTGTTAATCTACTAGTTTCAACTTTCCTTCCTGTGATACAATTCTCGTGTGTGAGTGACGTTAAGCTCACCCCTAAGCACACGGCAGAGGATGTCCCAGGCATGGTGGGTGGTGAACACGCATCCAGGTGTCCACAGGATGCCCTCCACCTCCCACCACCTCTATGATAAAGATCTGGAACGGTGAGGGAGGCAAAGACAGCCAACAGTGGCCCTCAGGGAAGGGGCACCTTGGCAGGATCAGATGCCACAGAGAGGTGATACTTTAGTTTCCGCTTTTAGTCAAAAGAGCCTTCTTCCTGACAACATGTGATTTGGGGCCCTCGGTTACTCCTGGGGGTATCCGTAGGTGAGTGTCCCCTGCAGTCACTGCTGTCAGGCCCCAGCTGTTCATACCAGAAACATCTGTGGGAGCCACATATTATCTATTCTATTTCTATTCTATTCTTTTCTGGTCTCTGGTTATCAGCATCTCTTCCAGAAAGTATTACACCCTGTGCTATGTGGAGAGCCCAGGGCATAAAACGCTGGTCACCTCAGACCCTCTTTCCAAACAGCGGCAGGAGCAGAAGTGGCTGTGCTGGGTTCCAGGAGATGGACTCAGGGAAGGAACTTTCCACTTGTGCCTCAGTGCATGATGGAAAATGGAGTGGAGGGAGGTGAGAGTCCAGTAACCAAGGGGATGAAATCACAGAAATACAAAGTAGAGCTCAGAAACTGTTTCTCTTAACGTGCTCTGCATGACCGAGTCTCGGGGTAAGGCCTGAGAAGAGACTCCCCATCTGTACAAACTCAGGGGGCCTTGGGGACGTCACAAGGCAGAGGTCCAACTGCTTTGGGGACAGAGGTCTCCTAGGCACCTGCCAGAGGAACAGATGGGGTTCAGTGAGCGCAAGGAGGGGACATTGTATACACGTGAGTTCACACAAGTGGGAGTGTGTCTGTGTGTGGAATAGAGAGCTGGCAGGTACACCGTCATTTTTTATTTTTTTTAATTCTGTATTAAATCATAACTGTGTACATTAACACATTTAGGGAGTATAATGTAATGATCTGATATACAATGTGGAATGCTTACATCTAATGGATTAACATAGCTATCTCCTTGCTTACTTATTTGTTGTGGCGAGAACATTCATACTCTATTCTTAATGGTGTAGAAATGTACCATTGCATTATGCACATTAGGTCGGATCCCCCCCCAAAACCCTCCCTCCTCCCAACTCCCCTCTCCCCTCCCCTCTCCTTTCTTTCCTCTTCCCTCCTTCTTTCTGGACTATAGTTATGTTTTACCATTCCTATGAATGTGTAGGTGATTATATTCTGATTTCATAGTTGTACTGAATACATTGGATGCTTTTTTTCCCATTCTTAAGATACTTTACCAAAAAGAATATGTTCTAGCTCCATCCAGGTAAACATAAAAGATGTGAAGTCTCCATCTTTTTATGGCTGCATAGTATTCCATGGTGTACATATACCACAATTTGTTGATCTGTTCATGAATTGATGGGCACTTGGGTTGCTTCCATGACTTGGCAATTATGAATTGGGCTGCAGTAAACATTCTGGTGCACATGTCTTTGTTGTAAAATGTTTTTTTATCATCTGGGTAAATACCTAGTAGGGAGATTGCAGGATCAAACAGTAGGTCCACTCTTAGTTCCTTGAGAATTCTCCAAACTTCTTTCCCAAAAGGCTGTATTGGCTTGCATTCCCACCAGCAGTGTAGAAGTGCTCCCTTACAATCCCGGGCAATGGAAGCAACACCAAAATTATATCACTGGGATCTGATCAAACTAAAAAGCTTCTGTACAGCCAAGAGCACAGTAAATAAAGCAAACAGCCTTCAGAATGGGAAATGATATTTGCAGGTTATGCTTCTGACAAAGGTCTGATAACTGGAATTCAAGAGAGCTCAAACTAATCAATAAGAAAAAAACAACCCCATTTCTATGTGGGCAAGAGACTTAAACAGAAATTTCTCTGAAGAAGACACGCGCATGGCCTACAAACATGAAAAAATGCTCACCATCTTTCATCATCAGAGAAATGCAAATCAAAACCACGTTGAGATATCATCTACCTCCAGTAAGATTAGCCACCATAACAAAATCCCAAAACTACTATCATTTTTTAGATACAAATTTTAAAACATATTTTAAATAAGTACCCTACGGCAATTTTTTTCATTCTTTAAGGATAAAACTAATTCAATTTCAGATTATGACTAATTATATAAATTAACATGACTAAGGATAACTAAAAATGTTAATTTATCTATTAAAAAGACATACACCAAGGCTGTATGTGCCTTCAAATCCAGCCCAGGGCAGCTAAAACAACAGTGACAACTGCAACGAAATGTAGCTGGGCATTGTGGTGGGCGCCTGTAGTCCCAGCTACTTGGGAGACTGAGGCAAGAGAATCACTTAAGCCCAAGAGTTGGAGGTTGCTGTGAGCTGTGAACTGAGGGCAACATAGTAAAACTCTAACTCTAAAAAAAAAAGAGCAGTGTTGAGGACCCTGGTCACATCCCTGTGAAATGAGCTCACAAGGACCATTCGGGACACCTGAGAGAGCTCATCTGGACAATGGCTGACTATCTTAGATGTTTAGGGAGCAGTCGTGTGGAATGGAAGACAATCAAGTTCTGTTTGTCCCCAGAACATGAAACCACAGCCCAGGGTGTTCCTTGGGAGGTCTCCAAGACCCTTTCAGGACATCCAGAAGTCAAACTGTTTCCAAACAAATGCTAAGACATCGCCTGCCGCAGCTTAACTAAAACCTAGAGTCTTGTGTGTTTCATTCACTATTATAAACTTTGTAATTTGCACAACCACATCCTTCTGCATAGTTTCAAAATCTTGTGTTTATCTTAAATTTTAAACAGGAAGAAATGATTTGCTTCTGTCTTCATTCTTAACTCAAGCACAGAGCATTTTAATATTAAAAAAAAAAAAGAGGAAGAAGAAAAATACAATCTGTTTTAAAGAGTTGTCTCAAACTATCAGTTCCCTGGAGGAAGGATACCAGCTCCCGGGGGTCCTGGTTCCTTCTGCTCCCGGGGATCCCTGGTTCCTTCTGCTCCCGGGGATCCCTGGTTCCTTCTTCTCCCGGGAGTCTCTGGTTCCTTCTGTTCTGGGGATCTCTGGTTCCTTCTGTTCCTGGGGGTCCCTGGTTCCTTCTGCTCCCAGGGGGTCCCTGGTTCCTTCTGCTCCCGGGGATCTCTGGTTCCTTCTGTTCCTGGAGGTCTCTGGTTCCTTCTGCTCCCAGGGGGTCCTTGGTTCCTTCTGCTCCCAGGGGTCCCTGGTTCCTTCTGCTCCCAGGGGTCCCTGGTTCCCTCTGCTCCCGGGGGTCCCTGGTTCCTTCTGCTCCCGGGGGTCCCTGGTTTCCTCTGCTCCCGGGGGTCCCTGGTTCCTTCTGCTCCCGGGGGTCCCTGGCTCCCTCTGCTCCCGGGGGTCCCTGGTTCCTTCTACTCCCAGGGGTCCCTGGTTCCCTCTGCTCCCGGGGGTCCCTGGTTCCTTCTGTTCCCCGGGGTCCCTGGTTCCTTCTGCTCCCAGGAGTCTCTGGTTCCCTCTGCTCCCGGGGGTCTCTGGTTCCTTCTTCTCCCGGGGGTCTCTGGTTCCTTCTGCTCCCGGGGTCCATGGTTCCTTCTGCTCCCAGGGATCCCTGGTTCCTTCTGCTCCCGGGGGTCCCTGGTTCCTTCTGCTCCCCGGGGTCCCTGGTTCCCTCTGCTCCCGGGGGTCCCTGGTTCCCTCTGGTCCCGGGGGTCTCTCGTTCCTTCTGTTCCTGGGGGTCCCTGGTTCCTTCTGCTCTCGGGGGTCCCTGGTTCCTTCTGTTCCCGGGGGTCCCTGGTTCCTTCTTCTCCCGGGGGTCCCTGGTTCC